TGTCTCCAGTCCTGTGGACCTTAAAGTTCTAAATAATCTGAGCAGCTGTAGTCTCAGAGACATCCAGGTGCTTGGAGACGTCTGATGACACTCTGTCCCCTACCTGTCCCCCTTTAAACCACTGGTCCCAGGACACACCTGGTTGAGTCTTTTCATGGAGGACTGTCCTTTTTTAAGACCAGTTTATTTTACAGTTAATGTCTGATTTTYTTTAGATTTTTAGCGACTTGTTTTTATTTTCCTTTATGAAAACAAACTCTCCGTCATGTTGAGTCTGTTTGGTTCCAGGAAGTAAAAAACACCAGATTTGGATCAAACGTCTTCTGGTTCTTTCTCCACATCAGATCTCAGCCCTCGGTCACAAMGTTACAGTTTTTATTCTTATTTCTCAAACCTGTGGGAGTCTGAAGTGAGCCCAGTAACAATAACACACAGGGCAACAGTAAACATGTCATCTCCCAGGATTAATGATGGTTCTGTCTGGATCAGACCGGGCCGGGCTGCAACAAATATTTCTCTTGGTGTCGGCTGGGGTTCAGCAGTATTTCTGGTCTGGAATCAGATCGTGGCACAGAATCAACAGCGAGCTCAGCGTGAAGGTTTGAGGCCGATAAAACACTACGGTTGAACAATGCCGAAGAGTTACTGTGGCAGGTTTTAGCTCCGAGACTTAACCTTCGGCTCGTCAACTTTAAGCTGAAGGCTGAGCGCTGAAGGAGCCGAATCACAGTTGTTAAAGCAAAAAGTAGCAAAGGGCTGGCTGACAGCAAAAAAAGTAGTTAAAAGTGGTAAAACAGGAGCTAGATGCTAAAAGTAGCAAAATGATAGCTATAAGCTACATGTAGCATAGCATAAGCTAAATCTAAAAGTAGTAAAACAGGAGCTAGAAGCCAAATGTAGCAGAACAGTAGCTAGAAGCTAAAAGTAGTAAAACTGGAGCTATAAGCCAAATGTAGCAGAACAGTAGCTAGAAGCTAAAAGTAGTAAAACAGGAGCTAGAAGCCAAATGTAGCAGAACAGTAGCTAGAAGCTAAAAGTAGTAAAACTGGAGCTAGAAGCTAAATATAGCAGAACAGTAGCTAGAAGCTAAATGTAGCAGAACAGGAGCTAGAAGCTAAATGTAGCAGAACAGTAGCTAGAAGCTAAATGTAGCAGAACAGTAGCTAGAAGCTAAAAGTAGTAAAACTGGAGCTAGAAGCTAAATATAGCAGAACAGTAGCTAGAAGCTAAATGTAGCAGAACAGGAGCTAGAAGCTAAATGTAGCAGAACAGTAGCTAGAAGCTAAATGTAGCAGAACAGGAGCTAGAAGCTAAATGTAGCAAAACAGGAGCTAGAAGCTAAATGTAGCAAAACAGGAACTGAAGCTAAATGTAGCAAAACAGGAACTGAAGCTAAATGTAGCAAAACAGGAACTGAAGCTAAATGTAGCAA